AGCAGGCAAACTCCTTTTCCCCACCCTTTTTCCAGTATTTTTTTCTGTGTAGTTTTTTCCATTAAATATATATTCTGCGTTCATTCTAAATATATTATAAAACACTTTATCCAATATTGGCCATAACAGGTCAGGAATTGGTTTATATTTCTAAGAGACTCTGAAAAACTTTTTTATACTTGGTGTGAAATCTGTGTGTATCCCTTATATAGATCTTGGCTGAATTTTATGCTTCTCACTGTCTGAGAAGAAGATAATGTAATGTGTCCATGTTATTTCAGATTTCCTATTGGCAGCTCTGTCAATATATCTGACACTGGCCCCTGTGCCATCCTAATCGTGTTATTGCTTTGCAGTATAAATAAATGGACAGTCAGGGCAGGAATAATGACTACCAAAGTTCATTTAACTTGTGACCTAAGCCATTTTCCAAGTTCATCTGCATTGAAGGTCTTAGAATTAATCACAGTGCTGCCAAGATCTTGCTTTATGCTGGATTTTTAGGACAAAGCAATATTAAGGCTATGTTTTTGTTCTACTGCTAAGATTTTAATATTTCAGATATAAATCAAAATGAATGCATGGAATTTTGCAGCCTATAAATCATCATTGCAATGGGATTGGTAATTATACACAGAAGGCACAATGATTCAGCTGTTACCGTATCTTCTGTAATATTGAGCCATCTGCTTTTTGGGATGGTATTACAGTGCCATCTGGAGATTCAAAACCCTAAAGGGAATACGGTCTTTTTTCTCAATCTTGCTTGTACAATCACAGTCTCTTAATCAACTGAGGAGCCACTATTTAATTTACATGGTTATGCCTTGTTATTACAGTTGAAAACACTTTACATAAAGCTCTGGGTCTTCAACTAAAGTGGGACTAGAAACAACAGAAATTTGCAGTCTCTGGTAGACCATTGATACACCCCATTAAGGAACCTGTAGCCAACATTAAAGAGAATGGTAAGATCCATAGTAAGAGAAACCACCTTCTGGTCACCTACATTGAAAAGGGATGTAGCCAAACTGGGGCAAGAGCAAAGAAGGGATACTAGGATATTCAGGGGAGTGGAGAACCTTTTTGCAAGAGGAAATTGAAAGATATTGGCTCCTTCCTTGCTTGCTCCAAGGGCCTTATGGCTAAGGGCAAGCAAAACTTGGGGGCATCTGAACCCCAAGCCTCCAGGCTTGGGCCTGCAAGTAGGATACCCACCAAAGGATTTGGAAACATCTGACGCCCCTGGTGTGGATGGAGGATGTTTGCCAGTAGTAGAGCCACTTATGATTCTGGATTCTTGAATTTGGAATTAGTTTTGGCTAATTTGGCCTCAGATACAAATTTAAAAAAAGAAAAAAAAAGAAAGGTATTGGCTTGCTTAGCCAGCAAAATAAAAGATGATGGGATATATTTGTTGTCTATAAATACAGCATAAAGGAAAAAGAATAGTGTAAGCACAAACTAAAAGGCAACATTGGTACAAATGGATATAAATTGCTCATGAGTTAATTTTGGTGGAAGTTAGAAGAGAAGTTCGTTCTGAAACAGGCTCCTTATAATGAGTTCTGCATGGGGAGGTAAAAATTCTCTAACCATTTCTAAGATACTGCTTGGTATATTTATCAGTAGTATTATAGTATATAATAGTAACATGGTTACCTTCATTAGAACGGCACTAGGCTCCATGCCTCTTCTATTCATATGTCTCATGCTACTAGATGCGTACTTTCTTTAGAACTGATTACATGAACCTGAGAAGCCTAAGGCTACTGTAAATACTGCACTGATTCTGAAGTGAGCAGGGCAGTTTGGGAAAACAGTTATTGACTGTAGAGAATTTTGCATAAAACACAAAAAGCAGAACTTCTGCTCAAGATGTGTTTCTGTGTGGGATCTTAATGTGTTGGCACAGTCATAGTGGTAATGGTAGTGGCAAATGGAGCTGGCCTATAATGTTAAAGAAAAGGCAGATGACCTGTATTAATCATGTCCTAGGCTCAGCA